TGGGGTTGGGTTGGGGTGAAGAGACGCAGGTTTGGTTGGGTTGGGAAGCCCCAAGATGGGTTGGGTTGAGCAGACCCAAGGCAGGTTGGGTTGGGTTGGGTTGGGTTGGGTTGGGTTGGGTTGGGTTGAAGAGCCCCAAGACTCATTGAGTTGGGAAGCCCCAAGGCAAGTTAAGTTAGGCCCATCAAGAAGAGCCAAAATTCTTTGGGTTCTCCTGCACTGAAGCCTCCTGATTGGCCAAGGCCACCCTGGCCCAGCCTGGCTCAGAGCTGGAGCTCCAACTCTCCTCCACAGGTGAAGAACCTGACGGAGGAGATGGCAGCGCTGGACGAGACCATTGCCAAACTGGCCAAGGAGAAGAAGGCCCTGCAGGAGTCCCAGCAGCAGACACTGGACGACCTCCAGGCCGAGGAGGACAAGGTCAACACCTTAACGAAGGGCAAAGTCAAACTGGAACAGCAAGTGGATGATGTGAGTGTGGCAGGTCCCATCCTTCCACCAAGGACCTTCTGGGGGGACACAGATGAACCCTGAGGTGTCTCCCTGGTCCTGCACAGCTTGAAGGTTCCCTGGAGCAGGAGAAGAAGATCAGGATGGACCTGGAACGAGCCAAGAGGAAGTTGGAAGGTGACCTGAAGTTGATCCAGGAGAACATCATGGATCTGGAGAATGACAAGCAGCAGCTGGAGGAGAAGCTGAAGAAGTGAGGGTGGACACACCTCACCAGGTCCATCCTGACTGGGGGGGCAGGTGGGACCTCACTGCTCCTCCCTGTGCTCCACAGGAAGGAGTTTGAGACTCACCAGCAGAGCAGCAGGATCGAGGACGAACAGGCCTTGGCCCTGCAGCTCCAGAAGAAACTGAAGGAGCTCCAGGTGGGAGAGTTGGGGCTGCATCTACTTGGGTTGGGATGGAGAGTCTCCAGGTGGTTGGGTTGGGTTGGGTTGAGTTGAAGGGTCTCCAGGTGGTTGGGTGGGGTTGGGTTGAAGGGTCTCCAGTAGATTGGCTTGGCTTGAAGAGGGTCCAGTTAACAGTTGAGTTGGGCTGAAGATGCTCCAGTTGGTTGGATTGGGTTGAAGGGTCTCCAGTAGATTGGCTTGGCTTGAAGAGGGTCCAGTTAACAGTTGAGTTGGGCTGAAGATGCTCCAGTTGGTTGGATTGGGTTGAAGGGTCTCCAGCTGGTTGAGCTGGGCTGAAGAGTCTCCAGTTGGTTAGGTTAGGTTGAAGGGTCTTCAGCTGGTTGGGT